GTAGCGGTTAACGTGTCAAGCTCATACGCTGCATTGTCATGGTTAGAGCCCGGCTGGGGGTGCTGAGACCCAGGCGAAGTCGAAAAGAACAAACAAAATTATGATAATGGGTCTACTTTATGAGGCACAGAAAAAAAAATGCTATTTTACTAGTTTCTGTATCCATATTAGGTAGTAAAAAGTCAATGTGAGCAGATAAAAAATTATTTTTGAGGTTAGGAGATTAGGGAAATTTATCAGGAATTTGCGTGCGGGTACTTAAGTTACCTGGGTATCGTCAGTGGGGCAGGGAAATGCAGGTAAGCGTCGCCATCCATGCTCGGCAGTCAATTTAGAAGCTGGATTGCCATCGATTTCCCTGGAGATACGAATCATCAATATCGTCTTATTAAATCCCCAATACGAAGAGAGGAATATGAACGTGGAATCCTGCGACCAGCAGCGCCTAGAAAGATTCGTGTAAAGTCCTGCATGTGGAATAGGAAGTGTATAAATTGGCTTAGACGAGATCGTATTTGAAGAGATGAATACCCTATATAATTTGACTTTTAAATACGATTATTTAGTTCGTGCCATACAGCCCTACAAGACTATATGCAATCCAATAAATCGACTTTAATGAGTTTTTAAGAAGACTGCTCATGCAAATAGTTGAGGAATTTTTATACTTAATCTTTCTAGAGAAAGAAAGTAATGCTTGAATGCCAATTAAATCGAATTTGAATGATCTTAATCCAATCTTTATTCCAAAAGATGTTGGCAGAATAGGTTCCCAAAAAAGGTATGAATGATGAGCGAATGCAGGATGGATAAAGTCAAAAATGAGTTTAAAAATCTGATAATCCGAGCGCGCAAGACATCTAGAATAAACATATAAATTCCTAATGCAGACTAAAAATTAGCAGAGAAGGTTAATAAATCCTATTAAAGCAGCCATCTCGAAAGGGAGGACAAAGGATACCCCATCAAACAAGAGAAGGAAAAAAGGATTTGGATGAAATGATTTTTGCCGAAGAATAAGGTTAATGAGATTGAGGTAGCATTAGGTTTGGAGGCTACTAAAGGGCCTTGAAGCATCAATAATATGAGGAATAAGGTTGACCTTCAAGCAGGGGTAAAATTATGTTAAAAACGGAAAAGAATGAGCGAATAAAAATAACTATGGATAAGAAAGATTTAATAAGGAGAATGGCAAATATACATGAATGTGGCTCTATTTACCATAGGCAGCTTAAGAAGCATCGAGCAAGGTACTTAAGATTGTCCTGTGGAAACTAGACAGAAAATGAAATAAGAAAAATTGTACAAGGCGGCGCAAGACTGCTGGGGGACAATGAATACAAAGAACCTCTGAAGAGAAATCCTTATATCACTTCTGGCAACAAGCGCCGATATGTACACCCATAAGTGAATTTTATGCATAAAAGCATAAAATAGTAAAGGACTACCTAATTAACCAAATGAAGGATCTTTAATTATACCGATAATAAGGTAATAATACAGCTGAAAATAGAGAATCGCTTACAAGTTGGGACACGCAGTCCGTTTTAGTTTAGTATTGGCAAAAGTTACCATATTCCTAGCTACATCTTCATGGTTGATTGAACAAGATATGGATTATAAGTTGTCATAAGAGATACCAGTAATTCGCCAGTGCTTGTCCTTGAAGTCAAAGCTCATTATCGCCATTGCAAATATTTACACAATAAAAGGTAATAAAAAGTGCATTGCCTATTAGTGCATACTACTATGGGATGGAGGGATGTGACTGCGAGATAAAAACCTTCGGAAGGCTCGCTGAATTAATACTTGGCTAAAGATTTATTGCTAGATAACCATGAATATTTAAACTGGATGGACTGAAATTCTCCATTCGGTAGCCTCATTTAGACTCCTAAAGTGAAACAGAAATGAGCTGGATTTCTGGGTACTAATAACAGAAAATAAAAGTTTAAAAATTGTGTGATTCATACGTCATAATTTTGTTATATAGGCTTAAGGAAATAAAGTCAAGGGTTTTAGTTAAGCTAGTCAGAGAAAATAATAATCTTACATATTTTTAAGCAGAATGTTAAGGCCAAAAAGAGAGAAATTTAAAAAGTTATGAACAGGATTTTCGTTTTGATTTATCTACTCGTCAAATAATAGTGATCAACAAGCAGATAGACTATTGGGAAAATATAAATATAAATTATAAGTCTGGCATATAGCTAATGCGTAAGTAAAATAGCTGTATACCCGGAAAATCATCATGTTGCGTAGCAGGATCTGCAACAATGGGAATGACAACTGTGGAAAGCGGAAGGCTACAAACGGTTAAATCCTTGTTTAAGTTGGTCGGAGGTGGCCAAAGGAGGCAAACCAAAGACTGACATTGTCCATGTGCCCCACCTGCTGGATGCTGAAGCCACGCCAAGAGACGACCATTCGGAGAGAAGGTAGGAGAATAAGAGGAAGTGCCAGATAGTGGAGAAAGAAGGCAAAGATTTTGATCTGGAAAGCAACAAGTTAAAATAATTATGTAGATTCATGCAATTCTTTTGACTAACCAAATATAGTCAATTATAATGGGGAGAAATGCGCGATACTAATGGCTCAATTGGTGATACAAAGCCAAGATAAGATTCACTGGTATGCAAACACAAGACGTAATTCTTATGGAAGATTACATGGTTCAGTGAATCCTTTTGCCGACATTAAGGTAACTGATATAAAAATGACTTTAAATGGTAATTTACATCTGATAATAAGGGTATTGATATCAACACTATAAAGAATGTGTACAAGAGTGTTAACCCCAGCCAAAAAAGCCTTTATAATATAGTGAAGCTTATTTTAGACAGAATTAAACCATCGAAATAGAAGCAACACCTGCTACTTAAGGGCTTAAGCATACCATTAGTTAATAATTTAGCCATGTTAAAGAAGTACAATTTAAGGATTAAATGCATATATAGAAACCTAAAATCATAATATAAACTACTCTTAAATATTTTTGGCAGCGAATACCCTTTAAGGACCAGCTGAG